AGTCCCATGTATTTTCAAACTCTGAACGTAATGCTTCTTCCCTTCGCTGGATTCCCATAGGATTTTGTTATTCAATGGTTCCCTTCTTCCATTGTAATCATAGGCAATAGGAAAGCTTGGCAGAGAATATTGTCTTAGAATCCTTTAGCAAAGTTGTCATAAGCAAGGATGTATTTTCTCAGCAAGAATAAGATTAATTCATTCATCTACTCATTCATCTAATCGTTCACTTCTGAGCTCTGTGATAAAAAGACATGGTGTTTCAGAGTGTGTAAGGCTAGTGCCTGGGTGACTTTCCACGCCATTGCTCATCATGGACCCTGGGTATCCTGGCCCTGCTGTGCAGCAGCCTGGTGGCACTTGATACAAGGATCAGGCCTGGCTGTGGGAGGAGCTGGTGCAGGACATGGAACACCTGTTCACAGTGAGAGAGCGACATCATACAAGACTTACTCTGATGCCCACTCAGCTTCATGGTGGACCTCTCCCAGAGGGTTCATCCCAAGTAGGGGATTAAAAACCCTAACACCAGCCAGGCGCAGTGGCACACACCTGTAATCCCAGCACTTTGGGAGGCCAAGGCAGGCGGATCGTGAGGTCAAGAGATCAAGACCATCCTGGCCAACATGGTGAAACCCTGTCTCTACTAAAAATACAAATATTAGCTGGATGTGGTGGCACGTGCCTGTAGTCCCAGCTACTCTGGAGGCTGAGGCAGGAGAATCGCTTGAACCTGCGAGGCGGAGGTTGCAGTGAGCCAAGATCGCACCATGGCACCCCAGCCTGGTGACAGAGCAAGGCTCCATCTCAAAATGAAATAAATAAATAAATAAATAAACAAACAAACAAACCCAACACCTGCACAGGTAATATGCTTCAATGTCTTAAGGGAAGGGAATTGTCTGCCAGAACCACCTTTTCTTCAATATCTCCTCAGGGGACAATCATGAGAAGGTTCTGAGAGTTGAGCTCCATGTGTTCAAACTCTGGCATCTGCACAAGAACCTGCCCATGGCAAGAACTTCCACTATCACAGGGTAAAAGTTCCTAAGATCATGGATCTATGCCAGCGTCAGAGTGAGGGAGCCTACTTTCAACCAGGAATTTTCCTCTGACCCTTGAAGACTGGCTCAGATGGTGAGCAACCGGATCCTGAAAACACCTCAGCCCAGAGCTTTCTGGAACAGACTATGAAGCCACTACATTACAGTTACCGCATAACCCATTGGGAGGGGATCACAATGAAAACTGGAACTCATCTACCAATGAGGGAATGACATTGGGGTTGCTGAAAGGACTATGTGTCTCTGCCATTATGCTGTATTTAGCCTCAGAGCTGGAGAGTCTCTCCCAGGCAGAACTGTCTGCAGACTTTATCTTAACTACTACAGGCAGTGGCCCCAGAGTGAAGTACACAGCTTGAAAGAAGGTGTGGTGGTCAAAAGTGTCTGTTCTGCATGACATTCCAGGGACATTTGCTACATGAATGGGAATATCTCAAGGCTATCAAGTCAATAGTGGCAAGATAAATGGCTTTATCCTCTTGGCCAAGCTTGTCCAACTCGCAGCCCATGGACCACATACGGCCCAGGATGTCTTTGAATACAGCCCAACACAAATTTAGAAACTTTCTCAAAACATTATGAGTTGTTTTTGTGATTTTTTTTTTCTCATCAGCTATCATTAGTATATTTTATGTGTGGCCCAAGACAATTCTTCCAATGTGGCCCTGGGAAGCCAAAAGATTGGACGCCCCTGCTCTGGGGCATAGGTCAACACCAAAGACTCTTGTGACCATACCCCAGCACCCAGCTCCACTCACCTGAGGATGTAGCATGTGACAGAATGAAGAGGAGGGACGCAACAGACATGAAAAAGCCTACAGCTCCGGGTTCTCATTCTGATAGTGTTTAACTCCCAATGTGAACTTGAAAAGTCAGTTATACTAGGCCGCAGCATATCCATCTGTCAAGTGGGATTGCCTTTACATCAGAATATTCAAGGGCCTAGAGAAGGCTCTGGGAAGAGGGATCTCACAGAAATTTGGGAAAGAGCTGACTCATTTATCAATTTATGCATCCATCTTGGGTTGTAGCTTTTCTGCAGTTATTACTCACCATGGTATCGCCAGGACTTAGCTGAGTGAATGGCATATAGTAGGCACTCACTATGCATCAAACTTTAAAAAAAAATGAATTGCCTGAGGCTTCTGCACTCATTCAGTCTCTCAAAGGCCATGTAGGAGTTTTTCAAAGCTGGGAGAATAACTGTATTTCTTTTGTGCCTCCCAACTTTCATCCCTGGCATTTAGTTTACAAACATCTTGTCTTGGGCCAAAGTCTGTAACACATCCTTTGCCTGCCCCACCTCCCTAAAGTTGGCTGTGAGGTGGGAGTTGCGTGTGGTTGGCTTGGGCCTGGTCATTCAGACAAGTGAAATGAGGACTCTTAACATCATTCCCGCTCTAGGACATGGGGTATGGTTCAGAGTGGAAGAAGAGGCAGATTTGGAAGCTGGAGTTAAAAATCTGGTTGAAGCCTACTAGTCTCGTCTGGGAGCTCTCTGCCTAGCCCAAGTCCAGGCCTTGGTTTATCTCCTGGACCAGTTCTAGAGGGGAGGATGGGGTGGAGGGAGGGACAGAGTAGGTGGAAAGGATCTAAGCATGGTAACTGGAGCTAGATTCTCCAGCTTTCTAGTGTCGTGCCTTTCACCAGCCTTCCTATGCCTTAGTCTACTATAAATGACAGAGACCTGGGTCCCATCTATGTAGGTCCAAGTGATAGGGCAATTGCTTTCCCCATGCAGTGGAGGCTGGGTCTGAAAGAAAAAGATCATTTTGATAGTTACCATCCCTCCCTTCGATGGTCCTGCCTGAGTTCTAGTTGAGAGTGTGAGGGCTCTAATTAAACCAGAACTAGAGCTCTTATCTTGTCCTTAAGTTTTGTCTGTGTTACCAGTGATAGCAAAAGAAAATGTCTTCTGCTATGGTCCATTGTGGATGTATAGCATGATTTAGATCTAAGTGAAGCAAACTTAAGAAATTAATGACTCCTGATAACAAATCTCTCTCTATATGACATCATGAAGAAACCATTTCTTTGAAAATTTTAAAAAGAATATGACCTACACATTAATCTGCAGGGAAGTAGCAGATGAATGACAATCTATTCACTTATCTATTCAACACAAGCAAACTAGAGTCATCTTTTAAAACAAAGATGTAGAATATGGAGGAAAACTTTATATCAATAGCTATATTGTAAGCACTTTAAAATCAAGACTCATGCCTTGCCCTTCATTTGTAGGAATTTTTAGCACATGGCTGGTTTCAGTAAATACTTGGGAGCTCACCAGTATTCCTCTCTCACCAAAATTATTCCATTATTATGTTTACATTGTATAATTATCAACCAACCAGCATAAATCAAAATAATTGTCTTTCAATTGGCTAAATAGATTTGTTAACGCAGTGAAGAATTATTCACCAGTAAATGAATTAGCTTAATTTTTTTAAGTGCAGATCATAGATGAAACATCATGTACCCATCATTTTAAGGTATTGATATAAGCAAGAGATAAAGTCAGATGAAGGCCATGAATTCAGTGCTGCATGAAGGACAAGTTAATTTAAAAGCAAAGCAATCAATTCAGCACCATGCCAGCTGCCATGAGGGATAACGAAAGCACAGTTCCCCTGTCTTCAAGGAGCTTTGAATCAAATGCAGGAGTCTAGACATGCATGGCAATTCGGAAAAAAACACAGACACTACAGATTCAAAACAAAATATATGGAATAAACCAACCTTTTCCGATAGAAACATTTCTTTTAAAATGATAGATTTTGATTTGGGTATATTAATATGTGAAATCACCAAATGCAAATGCTTTTCTTAAATCAGAAAACTATACACAGCTAAATTTTTTAAAAATTTCAATGTCTAAATTATACATCGTAAATTATTCAATATCTCAGAGATAAGGACTGTTACTATTTTGGTATATGTCTATTTAGAATCATTTTTGTTCAAATAATTGGCAATTTAAATAAAACAAGTTCACACCATAATATAGTTTTTAAGCTATTTACATTTAATAATATATTATGTACAAAAATCAAAATATGCTTACAAGCTGCAGATAATACAAAGCCGGGAGGATATATGGTGGTGAAAGAATCACAGCCTAGAACAATCTAAAACAATTGTTCTAGGCTGTGATTCTTTCACCACCATATATCGAGGAGGGTCAAGCTAACAAGACTAAATTTAAACAGGGATACTTTTAAAGTCCTGAGCTTGGATTGAAGAACTTTAGGTCTTCGTTCCCTGTAAATATTTCTTGGCTTGCAAAATGCTGATGAAACCTAGGCTGTCTCAACAAAAGCCTGTGTCCATAAGAGGAGGGGAGCATCTCTCTTTAGGCTGTGCTGGTCTGACCATATACTGAGTTCTACACTCAGTTTTATAACCAATGTTGGTCAAGAGGACAATAAACAAGATGAAAACTATGTCGAGTGAGTCATAATTGCAACAACTAGAAGTGCTTAGCTGTAGAAGAGGAGACTTTAGGCTCTGTGTGTGTATGTGAGCAAATTCTTGTTCACACATACAGACAGCTACCCTGTGAAAGAAGGATTTGATGTATTCTACATAACTTCAGAGGGCAAAAATCGTGGATAACTCTGAGATAATCCTCACAGCATCCTAGAAGAAATAATTATGTAAACATCTGAGCTATACAACAATGAACCAGACTGCCTTTGTGGTGAGGAGTTCCCCTTTCTCTGAAAATACTTAAGTATAGGTAGAAACAGTACAGAGATTCCTGCCACTGGACTTGAAGAATCCTGTGGTCCCTCCCAACTCTAAAGATTGTAAGACAAGGTGAAATAATATCACCAAACCAAACAAATAACTTACACTTGATTTGTGGATTGGTGCATGTGTGTATGTTTGTGTAGAATTGACCCTTGAACAGTAAGGGAATTAGTGTTGCTCACTAACACTAATGCTCAGTGGAAAATCCAACATGTCACTTTTGACTCCCCCAGAACTCAACTACTAATACCCTACTGCTGATTGGAAGCCTTACTGATCACATAGTCGATTAACACATGTTTTGTATATATATTATGTACTATATTCTTACAATAAAGTAAGCTAAGGAAAACTGTTATTAAGAAAATCATAAGGAAGAAAAAATGTACTTACTAATCATTGATCCAAGTGAAGGTGGGTCATCATAAAGGTTATTATCCTCATCATTTCATGCTGAGTAGGCTGAGGAAGAAGAGGAAGAGGAGGGGTTGGTCTTGCTGTCTCAGGAGGGGCAGAGGTAGAGGAGGTGGAGGAAGTGGAAGGCAGGGCAGGGAGGCAAGTACACTTGATATAATTTATACTGAAAAAAATCGACGTATAAGTGAACTTACGAAGTTCAAACTTGTATTGTTAAAGTATCAAGGGAAGAGACGTATAAAATTATCTGCACTTTCAAATACTTGCATCGAGGGAACTTTCTTTTAAAAATATATCTTGAGCTTAAATCTAAAATCAGTTGCCTGCTTACTTCTCCATGATGAGGAGGAGAAAGACAGACTGAGCTTGAATTCTGGTTGTCCTTTATCCCAGCAGTACAACCTTGAGAAATAAGGTTAAACTTTTTGAGTCTTATCACACTTATTTCAAAAATAAGAACACAACAGAGAATCAAGGGAGCATTGGGAAGATTATGTGACTTATGCCATCACACTGTCTGATGCATATCGGTTGTTTAATATATAGTAATTATTATTATTATTTCTATTATTATACTGGTCTTTGTCTTCCTTTTTCACCCCTTTGTCCCTAGAGTCTCTTCTCATTGTCCAACTTTATCTTTCAAGACACTGTTGGCTTATGTCTGTGTCAATATTCATCTATCTCATCCCTCCTATGATTCTGGAAGTGGTGTTTAAGGAAGATTAGAACGGCAAGGGTGTGTGGAGTGTAAAATGTAAACATGACGGTATAAGAGAGAAAAGTGAAGGAAAGAGTGCCAGAGAAGCAGAACAGGCCAGTTCTTTCCCCACCTCCAGTCCCTGTGTCCTCTCCCCACCTCCCTCCCTTTCAAAAAAGAGAAACAGGAAAGAAGGTCAGTGGAGGGAAAGATACTGTCAAAAGAACAGAAGTGGAAACATTGGATCAAGGCAGGATCTCACACTGGAAGGGGCCAGAAGGAAGTGAGAAGCAACAGACAAATCGCCGGGCCTCGAGTGAGTGGGATGAAAAAGATAGATGGTCTTAAAAAAAGATAACTAACGAGTCTCCGATAACTTCAATTTTCTGGGCCTTGGTGAGCTCTGCCTAATCTTCAATGAAATGGAAATATAAATAGCTGAGAAAGAAGCCAGTGGATGGGAACTGACATAATGGACTATATTGACTCTCTGAGAGATATAAGGGACCTTCTTAAAAGCATAATATTTTACACGATCATTTGTCAGCCTTCCTCTGGGTGAATGATCTCCTCTGGGGGAGGTAAGTGGATTGGCTAATCTTAGTGTTTTGTTTAAAGTGCACCCTGCATTGTGCTAGAAATCAGTTCGCTTTACTGAGCAAACGGGGAGAGGGAAGGAACACAAACACACCCACCGCTCTTTCTTTCTCCTGAGAGGCCTTATTAGCCGATTGCCCATCTGAAGATCCAGAAACCACTTTTCTCCACCTGCCATTAGGCTCTTTAACTCATCTCCTTCTCCATCAGAGCCCTTGTTTGAAGGAACCAAATTGTTCTTACCTTCCTGCTCTCACAGGGTGGAAATAACCCACAGACCATCTAGGCATGTACCCCATTGATATCTCCTCCTCACTCCACCCCAATTGTCTACCCATAGTAATAGGCTTAGCTCCATGAACTTGGCTCTTCTACTTCTGTACTTAGTGCTGGGGGTGTCCCTGACTCCCAGTCTACAGTAATCCTCCCCTCTCTTTCTCATTATTGTCTTCACCAACAGTTCTCCAGATTGTCAAAAAACCCAAATCCAAAGGTCCAGGAAGAATTTCCAGGATCAGAGCCCAAGGATCTGTACTTTCACAAGTTCATGGTTGATTTTAATGCATAAAATAGTTGGAGCACCACAGGGCTCTGAGTGATTTGTTTAGGACTTATTCTACATTGCCATGTCTTCTTGTATGTTAACTTTTCACAAGTTGGGCCGAGCCACCAAAAGTGAACTATGATCTCCTTCTTGATATTCCCCTTCCCTTGCACATTGAGAGGCACCCAGAAAATGTCTGCTGGAGAAGATGCTAGTATAATTTGGGTTTTGGTGTTAATTTTAACAGCAATAGGTTGAGGACATGCTGGTTTTTCATGACGCTATCTTACTAATATCACAAAGCCTACCCATCACTTACTCAGCCCTTGAAGATTTGTCCTAGGGATTGGAATGTTTAGAACTTCCCATCCAGCTTTCCTTCCCAGCTTGTCCATCCTCCCCACATCTAATGCAATAATGCTAAAGATCTCTCACTACCAACAGCAACTTAACTCCCTAAGGAGAAAAAAAATCACCTGGTGACCATTGAACAGGCCCTGGGGACAAAAACTCCTTGCAAAATTCCTCATCTAGGGAAAAGTTGACGTAATTAGACTTTCCTATTATCTAAAGCAAGCATCTCACTCCAGATTTCTTACCTCGCCACTGCTGCTGAACAAACTTATAAGTGACTAAAATTTCTATACGTCTCTGGAATGCCATGCAGAAACTCATTTTACAATCTTAAGCTCCCACTTTAAGGCCCATAAATACCCCTAAGAAAACTCCAAGGCAGGGCTCAGTCCTACGGCTGAGGCACGCCGCTGTACTCTTCTGCAGCATTCATTCTTTCTTATAAACTTCCCCTTTTCAAACCTATACTGTCGTTGGTAATTTTTTTTGCCAGCCTGTGAGTAAACGACTTTCCAATGCCATGGCTCTGACACCTCGCCTGGCATGCCCAATGCTTCTGATACTACCTCTGTGAAATGATTTTTGGGGGTGACAATTACCATATGACCAAAGTTTTCATCTAAGTTCTTCATTCTCTCCTATCACTTCATCTCCCAAGAGAAGAGAAATCTAGAGAGAGGACAGAGACAAAGGTCCTGAAGCAGATAAAAAGCCATCTTTGATTAGAAACTGTGAGAGTCCATTTTATCTCAACTTAACTGGGCTAAGAGATGGCCAGGCAGTGGGTAAAACATTATTTCTGGATGTGTCTGTGAGGGCGTTTCCAGACAATATTAGCCTTTGAATCAGTAGACCGAGTGAAGAGGATCTGCCCTAACCAATGTGGGTGGGCATCCTCCAATCCATCAGATGCCAGAATGGAACAAAAAGATGGAGGAGTGGATTTTCTCTGACTCTTCTTACGCTGGACCATCCATCTTCTCCTCCCCTCAGATATCAGAGATCCTGTTTCTCAGGCCTTTGAATGCCAGGGCCTATGTCGTCAACTCTTCTGGTCCTTCCGCTTATAGACAGAATATTGTGGGACTTCTCACCCATCATAATTGTGTGAGCCAATCCTGCAACAAATCTCCTGTCTATCTATCTATCTATCTATCTTCTATCTAATGTATCATCTTCTATCTAATCTATTTTCCATCTACTTCATTTATCTATCTTTTATCTATCTGTCTATCTATATCTAAACAAATCTCTTTATCTATCTTCTTTTTAATTTATCACCTTCTATCGATCTAATCTATTTTCTATCTACCTCATTTATCTACCTTCTATCTATCTGTCTGTCTATCTTTGTCTATCTATTTCTATCTATCTATATCTATCCATCCATCCATCCATATCTCCCATTGTTTATTTCTCTGGAGAACTCTGAATCATATAGGAACAGACCACATAGCTCCAGTGAAGTGGCTAAAATGGTTGATCACATAAACCCATAAAGAAAGAGGACACATTTGTTGGAAAATAATTAATTCTTAGGTCATAGTCATATACATTTTCATTTTGTGAATGGGAATTAAATAACTTCGAGGTAATTTGAGACATATAAAAGCAGTCTCAAAGTCTGAGCTGACAACATTAAACATGTTTTTCGATAAAAACATAAGATATTTGATTGTGTACAAAGTGTTTTCTGTCCGAATCACACTTTCACTCAGACTGTGGCTCCACTGAAAATTAGAAAACTTCCCTACAAGTCCATCTGCACCCCAATGAGGGCAAAGGTACAAAATGCAAGAGTTGATTTTCTCTTTCACTTTCTTGTCCTTAATTCTTATTTTCAGTAAACAGAAAGGCTGGTGGCTATTTAAAATTAATATAGTTTCAATATAAAAATTCTTACCAGTTGACCCAAGAGTTTACTTCCAGGATCCAGGTGAATTGCCATCTGTGAAAATTTACCAGCTCTAAATCCTACCCATGCTGAGTTGAGTCCAGTGCCAATCTTAACAAATAGGAGTGCACACTCCCTTTTCATTCTTTGCTTCTAAACCCTCAGAGAAAGGCGTGTCATTTTTTTTTCTCTTTCCTGCACTCAATTTGCCATTTCTACTTCCAGTTCTGAGTAGAACTCTTTTCCCCACCTCTGTCTCTCTTTAAATTCTACCTGTATTTCAAAGCTTGGTTCCAGTGATATCTTTTTTTACAGGGCTTTCTCCAACAACTTATCCTCACAATGATTACCCCGTGTTCTTTTAAATAAGACTTTACTGAGTCATCTACACAGATTAGCTCTCTGGTCTTTATTTCTGATGTTTGTGCTTTGTCTCTTCAAGTAGATGCCAGTATGTCTAGATTTTGATATCAGAGAGGCACAACTTCCCACAGACTAGTTTTGTGACCTTAGGCAGGTTACTTCTCCATGCCTCAGTTTTCTCTCTCTAAAATGGGGAGAATGTAACACCCCATAGAAAATTACAGTGAGGATTGACTGAAGCAATTGTTCATTAAGTGTTAGATATTATTGATGTTAAACAGTCCCTTACAGAGGTGTCTGGCTCAATGTCACAGTAACATGGCCTCACAGTCCACACGTAAGTCTCTAATTGGCATGACCTTTTTCTCCAGCACCTGATCTAGTCTGTTAGCTTTCTAGAAAATTCTCAAAGCTCATGGTAGAATAAAGTTTTGCCATATATACATAAGACACGCAATATACACACACACTTATAGATATCCATATACTTCTTCCTACTTTCTAAAATTAAGTATTTAAGATGGAAACTGAAGTTGTCAAACAAAAGGAAACTGGCTCCCAAGAAATACAGGCACATTACTTGGGTAATCCCCTGTACCTACTGAAAGTGCCATCTGGGCTGCTTCAGAAGTTATAATCCTGGAAATGGTATTATTGTACTTACCCAACACATGTTGACTTGGAACAAAAATCTTTAGTTGTTCATATCTAGCTTTATTTGTAGGCAGCCTAACAGATGTGCAGGAGTTGAAGCCTCTGTCCAAAACACCGCCCTCATTTGTTGTGGAAGCGCCAATGGGGGCTTATTGCTCTGGGATAAGGCTGCAGATATCTTTATTAGAGAAAAAGCATCTATGGTGCTGTTAAGGACTGAATTATGCCCCCCTCCAATTCATATCTTGAAGCCCTAATCCCCAGTATAACTGTGTTTGAAGATATAGCCTTTAAGAAGGTGATTAAGGTTAAATGAGGTCATATGGGTGGGGCCCTAGTCCAATATGACCCATGTCCTGATACAAGACAGACACCAGGAACGTGTATGCACAGAGAAAAGGCCACGTAAAGACACAGCAAAAAGGCGCTGTTTGCACACCAGGAAGAAAGGCCTCAGGAGAACCACACCCTGACAGCACCTTGATCTTGAAGTTTTAGCACCCAGACCTGTAAGAATATTAATTTCTGTTGTTTAAGCCAACAAGTCTGAAATGCCACAAAATGTGCATTCTCCATGTTAACGAAAGTGTCTTCAAATAGACCAATGAGTGAGACCCCCGACAGTCACCACAGAGAGCAGCTGACAGCACTGAAACTGAAAACAGGCCAGTTTAGCTGGAAGAAGGGGTACTGAAAGTAGATGGGAAAGACCATTTCAGCATACGGACTGTTGTCAAGGGAAGACATATAAGAACAAGGTGCTAGAGTGGGCAGCCCTGGGCAGTTGTTTTTTCTAGGGGCAGTGGGGCTTCTGCAAATGAGAGGGTTGGAGGCTGCAGGTTCAAGACAGCCCTTCGCTTGCAATGCACTCTGACCATGGCAACATTGTACCAGGGGAAGGATCAACCATAACCAGAGGGCTGTGTCCAAATATCTACTCAGCGGACTATCTCAACAGACCCTGAGCCATGCTGTCTGCAGTCTCTTAAAATGTTTTAGAAAAATACAGTCAGCGGAATTCCTGAGGATGATGAGGTCAGGGCTTGAAGGGGGTCAGGACACAGAGTATGGTGTTTGGAGAATTTTTTAACTGTTTTTATTCCACCATTGCTTTTCCAAGCACACCTAAACACCACCCACATGCCACTCCCATACGATGGTCCTGGTTTGGTAGCCCAGAGACCTGAGTTCAAGACCTACCTAAGGGCTGGGTGCCGTGGCTCATGCCTATAATCCCAGCACATTGGGAGGCCAAGGTAGGAGTATTTCTTGGACCCAGGAGTTCAAGACCAGCCCGGGCAACATTACAAGATCTCGTCTCTACAAATAGTAATAAAAATAAAAATTAGCCAGTCAGGGTAGCATGTACCTGTGGTCCCAGCTACTCAGGAGGCTGAAGTGGGAGGATCTCTTAAACCTGCCTGGTCAAGGCTGCAGTGAGCTATGATCACACCACTGCCCTCCAGCCTGGGCCACAGAGTGAGACTCAATCTCAAAAAAAAAAAAAAAAAAAAAAGACATATATATGTGAAACTCTTCTAAATTCATTGCTTTTAAAATACAACGCTACAAATTTTCAATCTCACAAGTCCATAGTTCCTTCTTTCTAAAAGTGCATTAATTTTGGGTGGTGAGGTGTACAGAGAACCCTAGGCCACAGTGTGAATATGAATCTGTATTCTGATCTCTGCACTCCCTGCTCACTTTGTGGCATTTGGCATACATGCCTCTCTCCTGTCTAGGTCTCAATTTCCTTGTCTATAAATAATGGGAATAAACTTTATCATTTATAAAATCCCTGCCAATTCTAGCGCTCTGGTATGCTATTAAAAAAAATCCTTGAGGGCAAAGAACACTGTGCGTGTGTGTATGTGTGTGTGTACACATGCATGCTTGCATCTTCTTAGCTCTACAAGAGGTAGAATGGGCAAAGCAGCTTGTTCACTAAAACGGCACAATCATTCTTGCTTTGATTTGTTTGACTGTAGGAAGCACTCATCACCACAGCACCTCTACCCACACATTAAATATTATCAATCAGCAAAGTGTATAATGTGAGGTTAACGGTGAAAATATACATGTGGAGTAGAGAAAAACCCACTCGGGGGCTACTCAGAGAAAGTAGGTCCTAAATTGCAAATGCCAGGAAAAGAAAAAGAAATCCATTCCATTTGCCCTTCTGGCTTCACTGAAATGCCAGGGCACAGCCCAGGCATCCTGAGAACTTGGAGCCACACAACGGGGTGCATTCAGTGCTCCAGAGCCATCCACTGCCCCACATGCTCTGGCGCCAAGATACAATGTGCATGCCAGTCCCTGAATTACAGTCAACCTGAAGCAGCATCCGCCGAAGATTAAATCAAAATTTACCAGGTAAAACCTAAATGTGGTGAACATTCCAACAGGACAATGTGGGAAAGTGTATTAAATGAAAAACGAAGAGAAAAGTTTACAGGAAAAGAAGGTTCAGCCAAAACAAGGCAGCCATTGGAATTTACCAAGTGGCTCCTTTAATTAAGGACGGTCTTCTTAAATTACATTCATTTCTCTTACCCTTTTCATGGCAGTCCAGGGTGAATAATATGTTTGTTTCTGGCTGAAGAGGTGCCAAGTTGAAGGCAGTTTTTGGTTAATAAAACTGGTCAGAAACCAAGAGAAACTAGTTTGATCTTGCTCTTCAAGAATGAGAGAACCTAGTAATCCATAGCAGTTTCATTATAACGCATATTCAGGACAAGTGAAAAAAAGAGTAAATAGTATTTCACCCTACTTTTCTGTTCCTTGAGCCTCCTTCTAACTGGCTTGCCACAGGACTAATACTAATGTTTAGCGTAGCCTGTGCACAGATGCCAGGCAAATCATTCCAGAAATTCTCTTATTTTTTTTCCAACTCAAAAATTAGCAATGGTTTTCCATTACCTATTTAAGAAAAAAAATCCCCATTCTTTATTTTTTAAAGATAGGGTCTTGCTGTATTGCCCAGGCTGATCTCAAACTCCTAGGTTCAAGCAATCCTCCCATCTCAGCCTCCCAAAGTGCTGGGATTACTGATATGAGCCACTGTATCAGGCCAGAAATTCCCATTCTTGATTCTGATAGTTAGAAATTTGAGCAATTAAATGCTTTATCCCCCTACCCTCATCACCCATTCCCAAAGCTTAACCCCATTCATTCTCAACATGGCCCTTGGGTGCCAACCAGACTATCTTCTTCGATATTGCCCATGATCACAGACTTACCCACTACTGTGCCCTTGTGGATGCTGGCTTCTATTTTATTTGTCCAATTCACTGCTTTGCCATCAACTCCTAGCAGAGAACCAGGCATATAGAAGGTACATAACAAGTATACGCTGAAAAAAGAAAGAATGCAAAAGAAATAGACAATGGATCCTAATTATCTCTAGAAGGCCACCTCAAGTGCAGCCTGCTCCATGAATCCTTCAGCTCTTTACCACACACTAACCTCTTCCGTCCTTAACCCTTTGAGGATGAATTTGACTGCTTCTTTTTTTTCTCACAGTGCCTAACCTAAAGCGAGTCTCTTGGTGGGCTTCTCTAATTTTCCATTTGAAGAAAAAAATAGAAGTCAGTATCTAAAAGACCTGGATGCTGTATTTCCCTTTCAGTGCTATCCAAGATGTTTTACTTAAATGATTTTCCTTTTCTTTCCCTGATTTCTGTGATGTGGTCCTCATCTGCTCTCCCTGTGCTCTCTCTGCAGTTTAGTGCTGCATTCGGAGGACAGGGTTGGAACCAGATTGTCTTGGCTCACAGCCCAGATGTGGAATTTCCTAGCTCTGTGACCTTGGGCAAGTTACTTAACTTCTCTGAGTTCTCAGTTTTCTCATCATAGACTTGTTATGAAGGTTAAATAAATTAAACTGCTTTGAACATTGCCAGGTACATAAAATGCCAAATTCATATGACCTTTGATTATGCCATAGCCACACTGATCTTCTCTTTGGTAGAACACACCATACCCCTTTCTACCCCAGAACTTTCACATATGTTATTCCTCAGTACCTGAAATCATTTCCTTGCACATTCTTTCCCTTCAGGTCTCCAGTTAAATGGCACATTGTTCGGGATGCCTTTCTTGACTCATATGCAGTCTAGGTTAGGTCTCTTCTAATTTGTTCCCAAAGCTCCCTACATATCAGCATGACACTAGTCACATTCACAATTTTTGTTCAAAGATTATTTCCTAGGTTAACAAGATACTCCAAAGGAAAGGAGGGGATCCGTCTGTCTTATTCATTCTCGAACACACAACACCTTACCCCGAAATTACAAATACATATTTATTTATTGAGTAGATGAGTCAATGAACTATCATGGGGAAATTGGAAAAGGTTCATATGACAGTCCCAGACTTTGAAACAGGGTTGTATCTGACAATGAAATGATGAGATACAAAATAAAGTGATCAGATTGGGATTTAGAGGCCAAACAGAAAACGGGTAGCTAAGGAGATGGAGAAACACCCAAGCCCAGGCTAGGTTGACTGGAATGTGCTGGCCTTTAGCATTACTGCAAAACAAGGATGCAGAAATGTCAGCAGTGTGTTATATAACAAGTCTTTTTGCCACCTGTAATAAATTATCATGGCGCATATCCCAAAAGCTTTCCTTTCCAAAGGGAGCCTGGAATCCAAGTTGCCTGGATAATTTTAGCGGTGCTTCCTTTTGCTACATGTCTGAAGAACAATAGTTCTCCCATGTTGTAGCTTTATTGTTCTTATTTGGCTGACGGTGAGGGGAACAGGGTAGGGAGTTGGGGCAAGTAGGTCAGCAACACACGCCATAAAGAACTAGAGATGAGAACACATGTTCTCATCAAAGGGCCCCTTCCCCCAATCTATCTTGAGAGTAGAAAATAGATCACCATTAAACATTAAATAAGTGGACTTGCTACAATCACCCACAGTACAGTTTCTAAAATATACTCACACATTTCTGAGCCTCCCAATTAATCAGAGGAAATTGGAACCTCATGGCATCGTAGACAGCTCGAACAAGTTGGTTTTAAAGGAATTAAAGAAATGTGTTGATTGGAGCAAGACAGTTGGGAGCATTCACAATAAGGACAAAATGTTCTCGAACGCATGGAGGCAGTTCTATAGTGGAGAAGGAAGTGAGCTCGGGCCTAGTGGGAGATGAATGCCTTTCTCCAGAATCCCAGCCTCAAAACTTCCCTTCTCGAACTGTTTTCGGAGCCTCTTATTTAGATACCAATACCTGCATTGTAGTTGGGTTCCTCAGGCTCTGCAAGGTGGAGCCAGTACAAAGGAGTAGCAAGTGGCAGAGGAGGCCTGCAGGGAGAAAGGAGCAGGGTCCCCGATGGCCTGCAGAGCCACACACAGGGGAGAAAAATCATCCTGCTCATTTCAGCACAAAGTGAAAGAGGTGCAAAAGAGCCGCAAATTAGTTCATTGTGACCACTTTTGTGAAGAACCTCCACATTTGCACTCAAACAGATTTCATAATTCTTTTGATAGCTTTGAGAATAAAAGGGGTAAAAAGTTAACTTCCTTTTGGTTCTCTTACCAAGAGTACATGAAGTTCCACTTTGCATGTTCTTGGTTTAGCCAGTCTCCCTTCTTGGGACACAGTGATCAAGTGTATGATTGAGAGAATTCAATAAACATGAGGAAATGGGACCTGTTTGGGAACAAAGATCCCAGTGGGTTCTTTTCCAAAGAGAACTTAACTCTCCCCTGACACCATCACAAGCCGCAGCTGGAGAGGTTTCCTTTTTTTTTTTTTTTTCCTGTATTTTTTTTATTGCATTTTAGGTTTTGGGGTACATATGAAGAACATGCAGGATTGTTACATAGGTACACACGTGGCAGTGATTTGCTGCCTTCCTCCCCATCACCTACATCTGGCATCTCTCCCCTTGCTATCTCTCCCCAACTCCCCACCCCCCACCGTCCCTCCCCTATTTCCCCCCAACTGACCCCAGTGTGTAGTGCTCCCCTCCCTGTGTCCATGTGTTCTCATTGTTCAACACCCACCTATGAGTGAGAACATGCGGTGTTTGATCTTCTGCTCTTCTGTCAGTTTGCTGAGAATGATGGTTTCCAGGTTCATCCATGTCCCTACAAAGGACACAAACTCATCGTTTTTGATGGCTGCATAATATTCCATGGTGTATATGTGCCACATTTTCCCTGTCCAGTCTATCATTGATGGGAGAGGCTTTCTTACCTTTACAGGCAGGTGCTGAGCCACCAGGTGGGCCTGGCCTGACCCCAGAACCGCAGTGTGCTTCCCTTTCAAATAAACTAAGCTGAGTAGGAAGACAAGAAAGATCATGTCCACGGTGAGCGGGCAGTCAAGCTAGCTGGCCTTCCAAACTCGGTTCCTCCAGCATCCCTCTAGGTTACCTTGTCTAAATTATATCCTGATTCAAGACCTTGGCTTCCCATTCTGTACAATGCAGATGACAATTTCACCCTTACCTTGTTTGCTGGTTCAGCATCAAACTGTCATCTGACCTCATGGCTGCATGGAGGGCATCTGACCTTCATGTAATATCAGACAGAACAACCAATATTTCCACTCCGTGCCTACTTTAAAAAGGAAATAAGCTTTTTATCCAAACAACTTGAAAAAAAAAAAAAGTATTTCCAATAAATTTTTTGGAATTTTTTTTAGTTTTTTATTTTTTGGAGACGGAGTTTTGCTCTTGTCGCCCAGGCTGGAGCGCAATGGCACAATCTCAGCTCACTGCAACCTCTGCCTCCTGGGTTTAAGTGATAATCATGCCTCAGCCTCCTGCATAGCTGGGATTAGAGGTGTATGCCACCACGCCCAGCTAATTTCTGTATTTTAGTAGGACGGGGTTTCACCAAGTAGGCCAGGCTGGTCTCAAACTCCTGACCTCAGGTGATCCCCCCACTGTGCGTGTGTTACCTGCTGAAAAATAACTGTTTTGAAAATTGAAGCAACAATTTCAGAGCTTTTCCACTAATTATTAATGTATTATTTACACCAAGACTTAACTCCAAGAGTCGATTTTGATTAGATGAATGCTTTGTAATTTATCCGTATTCTCTACTTTACCATCAATCACCTTCCCTAAGACAGCACAACTCGGGGGCTTCAACTGCCTCAGGTAGTGGGATGCTCCTTCCACCCTCTTTCAGCAGGGCGTCTTTACCAGGAGTGATCTCAGAATATATGAAATGTCCTTTAGGGACTTGTTTAAAAACCTTTTGTGTACATAAATTCAGAGCAAAGAATAGCCTATTCCGTAAGCATCATGAGGCCTCAGAGGTTATCTCATCCAATTACAGATGAGACAGTAAAGACTCACAGAGGTTATATAAATTGCCCAAATGTAAACTGTTAATTGGTGATAAAACCAAGTTTGAAACTCAAGTTTTTTGAAACCCACTGCAATGCGTTTTGCAATATATTATATTTATGGTCAAATTAGGTTAATAAATATTTACTGAGTGCCTAGAAGGCAAAAAAAAACAAAACAAAATCATGCTAGGGTCTGTGAGGGATACAAAAATTAAAAAAAAAAATGCACTTCTAATCCCCCAGGGGCTTGATGCTAGGAGAAGAAAGACATTGCTTTAATTTAAGGCAGCCTTAGAAAAACCAGTATTCCAGATTAAGCAGTAAAAGGTTGGGAAAGATGAAAAAAAGTTCCTCAGGAGACCTTTTTCTGATTAGACAAATGCTTTGTAATTTATTGGTATTCTCTTCTCATGTCGCTGCACGCCAGCCTGGGCAACAGAGTGAGACTCTATCCAAAAAAAGAAAGGAAGAAAGAGAGAGAGAAAAAGAAAGAGAGAAAGAGAAAGAAAGAGAAAAAGAGAGAAAGAAAGGTGAAAAAAGAGGAAAAAAAAATAAGCTTAGAACAATATCTGAAGCATGGTGAATGCCAGGTACGTATTCGTTCAAAAAATCCAATCTGACTGAAGGCAAGAGATTCTTTCAAAAGATCCCCTAGAAAGGCAAGGAATAGCTGTGAAAAGTTCCTATTGTACTGCTCAACTAAGAAGAAGATGAGAAATACTCTGTTATTCATTCTGTGATGAATTCTTAAGAAAAAAAATTTGAGGTACAGTATCCTGGGTCATTGCTCCATGCTCTTACTCACTTCTGCTAGCAGATCCCAACTGTGTGAGGTGAAACCTAGAATGCTTTTCACCCTAAGTTGATGGGTTTACCCTTGCTTGGAATCATAGTTTGCTCTTGGTAATGCACCGAAGTCACATGGAGCTTGATTCTTCATGGCTCAGAATAGATCCTGACCTCGCTGTGGGCTCCCCTGTGCTAATGCTTTCATGTACTCCAGATTGCATTACTACCAGGAATCGATTTTTCAGCTTTTTAAAAGCAGTCTATTTTGGTCATCCTTCCTCCACTCTTAGAGACATATTTATTTCCCAGAATGTGTAGCAACTCTTAGACAAAGTAAATTCGGATTACTGAAATGGAAGCAATCTGCTGTCCAGTTGTCAGGAAAGCTGGGAGTTTTTCCTTGGAAAATTCTTTGTAGATCAAAGCAAAGGAAACTCGTTTATCTCATGTGGAGGACCAAAGTGAAATAAACAATGTAAAATCTAACTGAGATTTGAGAACTTTAGTAAAGTCAGTCACATCTATAGAGCTCCAGTTCATACAGCAGCACTGCCCAATATGGTACCTGCAAGCCGACTGTGAGAGTTAAACACCAGAAATATAGCTGATGTGACTGAGAAACTGAATTTCTAATTCTACTACATTTTAATTAACTTAAATTTAAAAACTGATACTCGATTCAGTTACAGAAAATCTTTTTAGG